CTCCTTGCGATCTTGCTACGGTACGAAAAGTGCAAAAACGCATAATCGCACCGGCCCGCCTAGTGCTTTCCAGCCTGGGTTTTTCTCAGAATCTTTTTTAACTTTAGCATTGCAAAAGCGAATCCATTATGCTGGATGTTTCCAGCAATACATATGGGCCATTCATGCCCTAAAATATTAAATTTGCTCCCAGACATTGCGTGCACGTCAGTAATTCAATTGCTTTTTCAGTTTTCTTTTTTTCCAATAGGCTACAATTTCGAACAGATCAACATGTTTTACCGCTAACTAACCACCAGTTTTCGGGCAAAACCGAAAGCACACACTTCTGTAAGAACGCATAAAGGACACTATGTGAGATCAAAAGCAAACTGTCCTCAGTGCTCTGCTGGCTTTTCGGACAAGCCTATGTGGCTGGTGGATTCCTGCACGGTGTGCTGAAGTTAAAAATCTGAATCGTGTCGCCAGACTTGTCCTCTCACTCTGCAACTACAATTATGGTAACTATTTAGTGGTGAACATGTGAATGATGGTTGCAGGGAAGTCGACAAAGCAGCATGAGATGCCCTTGGCGTTTGTTAGGCGTTGTGGATGACAATGACCAACGCAAGCTCTCAAGAAGCTTGCGTGAACAGAAAACTGTTGTCGAATACGGCTTATTGACCACTGCAAATGGCTTCTGCGAATCATTTTCTGTTCGTTCTCTTGTCTGCAGCCAAATGGTGGACACCTCAAAATATATCGCACCCGGCGGTGCTGCTTGAAAGCGAAGCAGAAGTTAAACAGTTCTGTGCAGAATTCACTTCACCTTTCATCTTCTGAATCTACGAACTAGTTGCTGTGTATGCTTTTGTCGTAGATGAGTGTGGAAAGCGGAGAGAACTCAATGATAGAATTTGCAGTGGCCAGTGAAAGCGCAAGGATTAATGAAGTGGTAATATTAGCAGCCCGCTAAATTGATAATGAAAGCGACTAGCATAATTTAGTAAGCTTGGCGCTCATATAATTCTGAGATCGGTTTTTGAAAATGGCTTTTTAGGTTAATTTTTTTGCTGTTGTCAGGGAAAAATTCTGGATGCATGGGTAAGCTTACCCACGGCATGTTCTGTTATGCAAATGCCTTTGGAATGTTATCGACAAGCACAATCTGCTCTGTTCCGAACTCTTCATTTAACCGCAATTTTGGACAATTGAACTTTTACTAAAATACTAAACATTAGTAAAGTACATTAGGGAGAAGACAAGAAGAGAGGAGGTGCATTCTCTTTGCTAAGGAGGATAGGGTACAGAAAATAGCATAAGGTAGCCGCTTTTTATTTTTCAAAAATTAGTGGTATTCTGACATTCTCATTGCACATTCTCATTGTCTTGCTCCAACTGCAAGCACATTATTGACAAAACCTAACATTCTGAAGCATAGTGGGAAACCACTGTATCGCATTTTTCCTCACTAAGTTTGAGTTTTGCATGCCACTGCCAACCCATTCAGCGGTGATGATGTGTGTTGAAGAGAGACTAATTAGTTCATTTCACGCTCATCATTACTACACTTCTATGCTGGATTATTGTTAAGCCATAATTGCAGGCCTTAGGTAAGCACTGTTTTTTGTACACAAAGTAAACAAAACAGCCGCCCCTAGTAATTTCTGATGTTTGCCGTGTCTAAAATGGCGGTATCGTCAGCTAATCGTTGCTCGAACCGCCTAAGATGGGCATCCCTCCTTTTGTGCACTCGTAACCCTATTTTCTGCAAATGTTCATTCCCTATTTCTTAAAATGCCCGGCAAGACTTCTTGTCCCTATCAAAAGTACTTTTTTGTTTAAAAAATTTCCGGCTCTAGCACTGGTGAAATATTTTCTAGTGCAGCTGCTGGTGGACTTCATTTGACAATTAAAACGCTACAGCACCAGACTGACCATTCATAAAACCTGATGAACAAATGAAAATGCACGACTATTCAAAAGTAATGAAGACGATAAAAATGGGATGCGTCGCAGGTTTCCACGTTGCTTTACAGAAAATTCATGCAGAAAATCATTAACAGTAACAGTGTTCATTGCATCACAGTTTGAGGAATGTTCCTTTTGATCGTTCCTTCCAACTCTAATGCGAAGGAGAAGAGCCACTGGCTGAGCCGATAGCGTGACACTGTTGGACTTCGTGAAATTTCAGCTTTCTAACCTGTCTGATTTCCGAGCCAGAAGTATGCCAGAGGTGATGAAAAGTGAACACTGATGTGTTTGCAAATGGGACATTAGCATTCGTGAATGCTCATTTTGCGCTTGCTGGTTCGCACATGGATTGCAAACACCCATGTAAAAGTATAGCTTTCTGTATTGCTAGAAGAATGCTAGCAATACAGAAAGTTTGGAATCTGCGTGCTAGTACGTGAGAGGCAAGCTAATTTTACGCTTCTCGGATTGAACATGAACAAGTATCGCAATCGTAAATTTTAGCTTTCAAGCCTCTTTGATTTCTGAGAGGGGAAGACAATAACAGTTTTGCAAATTGAACACCTAACTTGTCAGAGGGCAAGGCACTGATTTTCGCGAAAGCATATTTTGCTCATACGGGCCCATATATGGAAAGCAAGCATTATCATAAAGTGCTGGCTCGTGTCAAGTTTGGTTACCGATTTAAGAGTATCAAAAGTGCTTCAGTTTGAACCTTCGGCTGTGGCTATGCAAGACTATCAAAGTCGATGCAATCTTTGGGTCGCACATGGATAGTGAATATCCTCGTGAAATGTCAGATTTCTACACAATCGGTCCTTGGAATCGTTTTTTCGCTAAAATTTTTTTGATTCTTGTTTTTGAAAGTTTATATATGAAACACGTAAGTTGCTTTTTTGTTCGTGAAGCTGCACATAACTGAAAATTTTCTCTTAAAATAACAACTTTCTAGCTTTGTGGATCACTGAGCTGAAAGTGAATGACAAAACAAAAACACATACTCATTAAAACCTTTTGATAATATGCATTTTTGCATTTCATCAACGATGCAAAAACGCATGAAAACTAGATGCGGCGACAGTATTTTTGTTCAAACACTGTGGTTGAATAAGTAAGTCATATGAGGGTCCAGCTTCATTTGGGTGTTCCAAGTTTCAGAATTATTTTGCAATACAATTCTAGAATGTTTTCACTAAAGATTACAAATATGATTCAAATGATTTATTGAGATGGAAAAGGTTTCAAATTTCTTATTTTCTTTCGCCGTTCTAAATCTGCATATGAAAGAGAGGTAGTGAAATTTCGGAGCTGCCTGTTGAACGCAATCCGATGCCGCGAAAGATGAGTGAGCCAAGCTTCTGGTTTCATACTTCCGTCTCCTTTATATATCCAATTCTTGAAATGTTACAGCATATTAGTGTTTTCTTTTCCCCACAAAAGAATTTAATTTTTGAACAATTTTTTTT